TGTTTTCCTGTATCGGGCTTTATGATGTTTAGACATATCTTAGATGTGTGCCGTCTCTGATAGTCTAACAGCATGTGTCCACTGTAGCACACTACTAATCAATCAATCAATCAATCAATCAATCAATCAACCAATCAATCAATCAATCAATCAACCAAAAAATGTATTAATCCTGCAAGCAGCTTATGCCCACAGGCAGGAACATACAGGAAGAAGGCACACCTGGATGTGGATCATTCCAATTTACACGATAAATAGTTCATAGCATCACAATAATAAATCAATAACTAATCAAGTTAAAAAGCCTTTCAAGAATTTAAAAGTTTGAGTGCAGAGGGGATGAACGATTTTGAAAAGCGATTAGTCCATTTGTCCTAAGCACTGTAATCTCTGTTTGCAAGTCAGCTGTCGAACACAAATGGTTCCTGGCTGTTCCCGTCAGAGCAGCCATTTGTTATAACAGATATTGTGTCTCCACTTCCAGGTCGTGAGCAGGCGGAGCTGACGGGCTCCAGGTTGGCGGCGCTGGGAATCAAGTATGACGTTCTGATCCACTCCAGCATGTCCAGAGCCACGGAGACGGCCAATATTATCAGCAAACACCTTGAAGGTAGTGGAAAGAGCGGCGCTGACAAACACCGAGGCTTCTCCCTATGGTTTTGTCCCTTCCCAAACGTGTGCTAACATTCCTCCTCGCTCCCTCTGTGTCACGGGTGTAGGAGTGGACCTGGTGAGCTGTGACCTGCTGCGAGAGGGAGCTCCTATCGAGCCGGTTCCACCCGTCACCCACTGGAAGCCTGACGCTGTGGTGAGAGAACGAACATACACACACACACACACACACACACTCACTCACTCACTCACTCACTCACTCACTCACATACACACACGTACACACACGTACACTCACTCACTCACATACACACACGTACGCACACGCACACACGTACACTCACTCACTCACAAAATATTTATATTTCAGTTTAGCTCAATTTAGATTCAGAGTGTTGTATATATATATATATTACTATTCTATTATTAAACAACTCAAATGCATACTTAGTTGCCTTTACCGGTATACATTCTTTTAGCATTCAACTCTCTTCCATGTGGTCTTAAAATATCTTACAAAGTCTTGAATTGATCTTGTCCATAACCTGCACAAATCATGTTTAAATGGACATTTTGTACCAGTTGTAAAATAGTATTTTATGATTGAAGATGCAACGGGTTTGCTGAGCCTTATTGCAAAACTTACGTCAGTGATATTAAGCCATGTTGGTTTTCTGATTTTAATATTCACTAAGGCCTTATTTTAACATAATTATATTCTCAATCTTCATTTCAACGCCAATATTTCCTTTTGGGCCGTGCAGCTGCATTTTCCATCAAGTTTGCCTCATTTTGCAAAAAAACTCTTCGTACATTCCCCACAATGCACTGCAGCATCATACATTAACCCTGTCATGTGACAAGGACAGCTTTCAACCTCTCTACCCTCCTCCAGCAGTACCACGAAGATGGAGCTCGTATCGAGGCAGCCTTCCGGCGCTACATCCACCGCGCCGACACCAAGCAGAAGGAGGACAGCTACGAGATCATCGTGTGCCACGCCAACGTCATCCGGTACTTCGTCTGCAGGTTGGTCTCTCGGCCGAACTCTGTGTATGTCGCTCAGCTAAGACTAGAGGGTGGTCTTCCTGCTTCGCTCACTATTGTGTTTAAACTAGAGCTAATCAAATAGCATTATGGACCAGTGCAATAACCAAATCGCAGTGAGTTATATTTGGTAAAGGCAAAATATGTGAAAATATTTAAATGAAGAATCGAGGCCCAGCTCACAAATGGTATCCAAACCATGATCATTTTAATATCATTTTTCAATGATAATCTGAATATTGTTCAAAAAGGGTGGTTCACACTTAAATCGTAAATTATGCTGCAATATCACTCAAAATAATATACAATGAGTTTTACGTTTTTTTTTAAATCTTGCAAAACTAATTTAAACTATTAAGCAATATATTTTTGATTATGTGCTGAACTTGTCTCGTTAAACTCTTAAGGGAACTCTAAATAGAAATGTCCAGTTTAATCTTAATATATTAGCCCTTTTGTTTTTATTGGTTTCCTCTGCGTCTGGTTGAAATAGTTTATTTAGTATATCTAGTTTGTTATGACAAAGATTTAATAGAGTGGTCCAGAGACTTTTGAAGACCGAAAGCAGATGGGATTTTTCTGTAGATTTGGGAATATTGCAGAAAATAAGGTATGTGGCAAACACACGTTTTTCTCAGAGAGATAATCTTCACATATTGAAACCACTTTTATACATTTTAAAGCGTAAATGCAATCTCCAGAAAAGTTAACATTTTGATGAGCCGTATCACCACTGCTCAGCTAAAGGTGGCTAATGCTCGCCGTGATGACATTTAGTCTCATTCAGAAACGTGTTAGCAACCGCCGTATTTAGTTCATGAATAAAAGCTTCAGATATTCACCAATGTAGTCATTACCGTACGTATCTTATCTGTTCAGACGAGGGAATCAGAAGCGGTAAAATGCTAACTCATTTCTGGATTTTAGGACTCATTCCTGCACCGCTCCATATCGTTCAAAAGACTACTTACTAAACCGATTAACCCACGATTTGTACTATAATATAATCCTCCCTCTCGTTGTCTCAGGGCTCTGCAGTTTCCCCCTGAAGGCTGGTTGCGGATGGGCTTGAACAACGGCAGCATCACGTGGCTCACTATCCGGCCCAGCGGCAGGGTGGCCCTCAGGACTCTGGGGGACTCGGGATTCATGCCCCCCGACAAACTGACTCGCACCTGACGGCCTCACGCATTTCTCTGGGACTCTGATTTCAGTCGGTTGGTTGCAGGGTCAAAGCTCAGTTCTCTCCTTAAGTGTCTTGAAAATTACTTTTGATGTTATTGTTTTGTAAGTGAACTACCATCATGTAATGACACTCTGTGGTCGTGATTACTCCGTGCCATAGAACGCCAGCAGAAGTGATCAAACAGCTGCGTCTGAATGTAACTGAGGATTTTTACAAAGTGACTGATTTTTAAACCAAAAAAAAAAGTTGTATTTGTATAGCTGTTGTAAATGCAAACCCTGCTCTTAGTTTTACAGCTGTCACTGTATGCTGGAGTGTGGATTAGTGTGTTGTATGGTGCAGCTGTAGTAAATAAAGTGAAATGATGAACACCTCAGTTTGTCACATTTCTTAAAGAGGCCCTATTATGTGTTTTCCTGTTGTGTGTTATATATGTTTTCGTTCATGGAAATCAGGGGCGTCCAAATGCGGCCCGCGGACCATTTTGAATCAGCCCTCAGCAAATTCCAAAAGTACAATGGGATATGGCCCACAAATGAAACTTGTGCTTGTCTTATATTGTACTTCTTAAATATAAATGTAAAAATATATTACACAGTAGTATTCATGTGTTAATGAGACCACTTTTCAAATAAATTCAGTCGATTAAAGTTGGAAACATTTTCTAACATATCTTAGTTGATAAGAAAAAAGCCCAATGACTTATTTCCATAACAAGCTTGAAACACACCCTTCATATTTCTCCTTATTATAATCAATCTGAGGCTTCTGTGTTAAGGGATGAGCTGCCAACACTCGCAAGCATCATTTATACATTTGATTGATTTTACTAACTTATAACTGAACTTATGAGGCAATAAACCTCTAGTGAGCAGCCCAGCCCTTCGTATATTTTCTGTATGTGGCCCTCAGTGAAAAAAGTTTGGACACCCCTGCTGTAAATGGTCTGCAAACGCTAAAAGCCAAAAGTTCCCTCCAGAGGGAATTTTCTACTGGCTAGCTCTCTAATACATTGAATGGCTAAGGGGGCTCGACATATCTAAGCGGTTGACCAATCGCAACAGAGCCGACCAGCTAACCAATCAGAGCAGACTGGTCTCTGGTTTCAGACAGAGGGTGAAAAGAAGGCTGTCACTTCCAAAAGGGACACTGCTGCTGGTGAAGTTTAAGGGCACCACTCTGGGAAAAGGTTTTCCCACAATGGTCACACACCAGTATAGTTTCTCTTCAGTGTGAACACGGTGGTACATTTCAAGATTAGCTCTCCAGTGTGATGAATGCGATAATATGCCTGAAGTTCATCTACCGTATTGAGAGATTTGCCACATTGGTCACAGCTGTACAGTTTCTCTCCAGTGTGAGTGCGTTGGTGGACTCTCAGGGCATTACCCAAAGAAAAAGAATTTCCCACACTGGTCACAGCTGTTTGGTTTCAAGGTGCCAGTGAGAGGTAGTCGTGCAGAGACCTAAAAACATAAAACAAGCCCATTTTATTTTATATGACCAAATTATACTTGATTCAATTTGATTCTATTTTCTTTCATTTAAAACAAACAAAAAATAATCAAACTAAAATTCATTAAAAATAAAAGCTTTGAGGTTATTGTGAACAATTTCTCTAAGTTTAACAGATTTAAAAATAACACAAAAATACAAGTTTTCCTTTACAAACTTGAACTGGTGTATACCAAAATAAAAAAATATATTGTTTATATTTTATAATATATTTAATTATTTGTATTCCACCTTTTTATTTTTTATGTAACACCCAAACACACTGCTGCTGTAACGAAAACATTTTCCAATTCGGGATCAATAATCTATCTATTTTATTCATTATAACAAGGAAATTACATAATCTGTAATCTGCTGTAAAACACAAACAATATGTTTGTATCTTGTCAGTTTGTATGTGATATGGACCTTGAGTCTGAAATAAAGATTGAATTGAATATGCAGTAATTTGAGTCTGTTTTAAAGTCTTTATTGATTTTATTTGAGTATTTAATACAAAAGGACAGAATACAAATCTGGAATATTTTCTCACTTGTGCTCCCAGACGCACTTTTAACCAGCACACACACTTTAAATCTGTTAATCTGGACAGTTCCCTCCTCCCTCCGCTCTACGCTCTGCGGGTGAAGTGCTGTGAGTCTCTGAACTCGAGGTAGAGGCTGAACAGGAGGTGCAGAGCCTGGATTCTGCAGCCGTGGTGCACCGGGACGTCCAGCAGGGCGCAGACGGCGTCGCTGTACTGGTCCAGGCTGCAGGCCAGGCGGGCGGGGGGTGGGTGCAGGCGGCCCAGCAGCTCCTCCAGCTCGGGGGGCCACTCCTGCATCAGGCTGTCGATGTCCGGCATGCTGCGGCCGTAGTGTACGCTGGCGGGCGGTTTGGATCGATGCAACGCGCTGATGCTCTCCATCCAGCTGTCCACGGCGCGAGGGTTAGAGAGCGGACTCAACACACTGGTCACCTTCTTCAGCTGCAGGGAGAGAGGGATCATATACAGATGTATCTACAGATGTATCTACAGATTCATATACAGATTTATCTAAAGTCTTATCATATTTATTTGACTGTAACAGTGACACAACCAGCACAGAGGTGTTTAAAGCATGTATTACGTTTTATTAAGATGACGCTTTTAATGTTAAGAAATTGAAAGCAACATTATTTTTGCAATATTTCATTTGTTTTATGTCTTGTAAATATATATATATACCACCTTATCTAATGAGCCCTTATAATCTTAATTTAATGGTATTAAAGGACTGTTTTTTCAACATACAAAGTTTACTGGATGATCTCAGGAAAGAGTGTGTGTGTGTGTGTGTGTGTGTGTGTGTGTCTGAGAGAGAGATATAGCAGTGTGTGTTTGATAGAGGTGTGTGTGTGTGTGTGTGTGTGTGTGTGTGTGTGTGTGTGTGTGTGTGATAGAGGTGTGTGAGTGTGTGTGTGTACCTCGGTGGCCCCGTGCTGTTTGCTCTCCTCTGAGAGCCACAGCGACAGCACCGTGGGGTCCGACTGCTTCACGCTGGGCTCGTCCAGAAACAGCAGACCCAGACTGTCCTCTTTCCCATCCGGCCGCGGCACCTGAACGCACCACGGGTTACAGACAGAGCTCAGGGGTCACACAGAGGTCAGGGGTCACCGATAAGGGGACATTTCGATGACCTCTACATGTATTTTTGTAATTTTGTTCACAACAATAACAGGATTAAACGTAATTAAAAGTCACTTTTGAAAACAATAGCGGTGGCCAGATGTTTTGAAAACCGACAGCTACCTTGAGGAAGGCGTCGATGTCTCCCACTGCGGGGATGAAGTCGGGGATGAAGGGCTTCAGGCTGTGTTCCAACTCTATGCTCTGAGGACTGTACCTGAGAGCAAAAATCACACATCGGATAATTCTCTTCTTTTATCGCTGACATGTCAAATATGACATGTGTTGTGTATGTGATGTTATATGCAGAGAGTGCAGGAGAGTATTTGGTCTTTTGGCGATAAAACTGTGAGGCAGTGAAAGTTTAAAAACGTAAACATGTTGAAGAAATATTGAACTTTAGTGAAGCTGATATTTGCAGAAAATGGAAGAAATACTTGTAACTTAAAAAGGAATAATTGAAATTGTGATGTGATTCTGAAGTATTTATGTGAATGTTCCTCTCAGAGATGCAGGTAGTAAATACTCTGCAGGTAGTAAATGAGGTGTGTGTTTGTGTACTGACCGGGTGATGTACTGGAACAGCTCTCTGATCTCCGTGGTGACGGGCAGGTTGGCGTAGTCCGCCGGGTCGTACGCTCCCTCCGGAGGCTTCCCAGACTCCTCGTCATCCTCAGACTCCTCTTCATTAGAGTCCTCCTCCTCCTCTTCTTCTTCCTCTTCTTCCTCCTCCTCGTTTGGACTGACACCCGATTGCACCCCCCTCGCCTCGTCCTCGTCAAACTCGTCGCTGTTGGCCGACATTAAGCCCCGCCCCCTTCTGCTGGGCTGGGACTCTGACTGAAAACACAGAAAATAATCAGAGTCAGAGGAGAGAGCAGTACTGTGTGTACTTTTACTGCTTATACCTTAACATGGAGCTGATAATACTTATGTACCTTCACTGTTGATACTCTTAATACATTGAGATGTATTGATGTACTTTTACCATTGATTCTCTTACATGAAGATGTTAATACTTGTCTTTTAAGAGCTTATTCTCAAACATGAAGCTTTACACTACGATAAAGTGAATACATGCAATACTTATGTACTATTACTATTTATACTTTACACCAAGCTACTAATGTTTGTGTACTTGTGTACTCACTTGTCACTGCTGATGCTTTTACTACATGAAGCTGGTAATACTTGTACTGCAGATACTTTGACATGAAGAATAAAAATAAATGTGTACTTTTACCTTTGATGCATTAAGATGAAGCTGACCATACTACCTTTATCTACATGTAATGGATAATAAGTGTGCATACTTGCTACTGATACTTTAACCTCAAGTGGATAATGCTGCTTGTGTACTTTTACAAATCAAACTTATATATAAAGCTGATACTGTTTAATTTGACTGCCTTGACTTTAACACAGATCTGATAATGCTGTGTTACTTTTACTGCTTATAATTTTGATAAAGATGAAATGACTTGAGCACTTTTTCTAATAATCTTACATGGAGCTGACACTACTTGTGTACTCTGTTACTGTTTATACTTGACATGCCTTGAGTTCACTATAGTTGTGTACTTTTAAAGCTGATACTATAACATGAAGCTGATCATGTTTAGCAGTGCTAATATAAACAGTAAGATTATTGTAACAACATTATCTCACACACACTAAAGAGCTGCTGGAGCTCCTTCCCCGGTGTGTGTGAACGCTGAAGCCCGGCGGATGTTACCTGTTTCCCGGGAGTCGGGCTGTAAACACTCTCCTCGGAGTCCACCGCCTCCAGGCTCTCGTCGTACGGCTGGTTCTTCAGCAGTCTGCTGTCTTTCTCTCCCCGCTCCATGTGCCACTAACAGCCTGCCGTTACACACATTAATCTCCCAGGCGTTTTAGTCCCGGAAAAAACGTTTATTTAGTTTACCGTTTAGCCACTAAGCATCAAAAGCTAAAAACAAACCGAACTACGGGCGGCTCTAAATCCGTCCGAGGCAACAAAAACGGTTTAACTGATCAAATAACGGATAAAATAACATAACAATAGACTAGCTCTATATATGTGTTTTAACGGTCTCTCAAACACATTAAATTAGTTGTAAACTGTCCAATAATCTGCGTCAAAGCCCATTAGCAATGTCTAGCTTCTGGAGGCTGTATCCCATGGATGTATGTATCCTGGCAACGGACCGTCGCGCAATGCATCATGGGAGAACCGAAACACTGCCCGCTAGTGGTGAAACAGAAACAAATGGAGAAAATGAGGCTGGATTACAACTGTTTTTGTTTACATTTGACCATTAAACATGTTTTGGAGAAGTTTGAGAGCCTGTGTTTTTTGACGTGAGTTCACTGTTAGCTAATTTAAACCACTTTGACACATATTGTCTGAGTTTAAGCTCTATTAAGCGCTAGTTTTTAAATAAACACTGAATTGGACTACTTTTTGTAATGTGAAAAGGGTTGCAATTACTCACAATCCCAATGGGAATCAATATCCGACTCTATGCAGCTCATTAAGTGTAATGCACATTTTTTTGTTAACAAGATGTCTATAACAAACTAATTAGTACTTTAGCAGTTGCCCTGAGAGTCTCTCTACCTCGTAGTGGTTAAAACTCACTTAAATTTAGCATCAAACTGGCCTATTTATCACACACACACACACACACACACAGAAGTTATTTCACAGAAAAATAAATTCCATTTCCAGAAAGGAAAAGTCAAGACATGTCCAGGAACCACCGAGAAAAGATGGAAAATGTATGCATTTATTGAAGAAAACAAATAAAAAACATCTCAATCTAATCAGGTTTTTCCCATGTTTGCCGTAGCCATCTGTTTCACGTGTGACCTCGAGAGAGAGTGTCCAGATATCAGAAAATTAAGGCAATTCCTGAACTGAGGAAAACATAGGAAATGGCAGTCGGTTTTAACACCATTAATAAAAACACTTACATTTTGTGCTACTGACCAACATACAAAAAATAACTTTTAAAATATTAACATTTTTACTTTCTTTTTTTTTGTTTAAAGAACATCCTCAGTGGGCCGATCCTGTTGAGGATTCCTCGCTGAGGTTTTTGCGATGAACTAACTTTGGGGAGTGCGGCTTGTTTTCACAAAAGAAGTTGACTCAGGCTATGACACAGGTGCTTCACACTTGCCACAAATAACATTACCGTCAATTCAACATTGTCCACACCCACAACATAAATGATCTTTTTTAACGTCTCCAGTGGACATCACAACCCAACGTGATGAAAATTCCTGTTTGACATTAGAGTAGTACCATACATCGTAAATACAAATCCAGACGCTTGTGCATATTTCTGTTGTGTTTTCTGAGCTCGGGTGTAGCCACCTTGTTGCAGCTGGATTTGTAAAGGGAGGGCGGGGGAGGAGAGCATGGCCGTAGAGGGGGGGAGGGGCAGTTAGACCGATGGCTCGTTTAAGTGCTTGAGGCGGATGCGCTGGATGTAGCTGGCGTTGGCAGGGCTGTAGCGGCTGGGGCTGAAGTCTGGAGAGGCGGCGTGCCGGGCGGGGCTGAAGCGTGCCGGGGAGCCGGGGGTCGGAGGCATCCTGAGGCCTGGTTTCACCACCGCAGGGCTGGGCCAGCTGGAGGGAAGACCAACAATACATACTTTATTAATCCCTCACAGGACTGAACTTGTTGACTGAGCCACTGCCGCCTCAACACATCAATAGTTAGTGGTTGCTCCTATTTAACTATGCTGCTAATGTTAACAAAAAGTCAAATGTCTTAAGTTTCTTGTCCCATAGAACAAAATAAAAATGTTTTGTTGTAGATTTTAAAGGATTTCTGATTGTTTATATTAAGCTATTTTGAGATCAATTGTGGGTTGGATTCGTTGGGTCACATGGATGTGGGCGGCACTCATAGAAAAATATAAATCACCTGTTCATCTGTGTGAGGTGTGTGTGTGTGTGCAAGAGAGGGTCGCTGTAACTTTCTGGTAGCTCATTAGAATAAGTTGAGGGATTTCTCCACCACCTGGCATGTCACCTCGCTACTTATTCCTAAACATGTCTGTGATTGTGTGAAGGCGTGACAGTTAGAGCAAAACGTTCAGGCTGCAAGAGCTGAAAAGCCCTTTCTGAAACAGAGGGTGCTCCATCTCTGCTGCAATAACCATACATCCGCCCTTTTGTTTAATTTGTGGCATCCACCTCATCACATGTTATATTAAAGACTGTTGAAATCTATAATAAGTAGCATTTTTCACAGTCATATGCTTTAACATATATTTAAAACTGCAAATGTAGTCAATGAGATGATGTTCCAACAGCAGAGGAGTAAAACCAGCAGAACACTGATAGAGAATAATGTGCGAGCAGCGTCTCACCTCTGCATGTCTGAAGTCGAGTATGAGATCATTGTGCTCTTCCACTTGTGAACGCTGGGATACTTCAGGACGTCGACGTCCAAGCCTTGTATCGCTGAGAAAACCTGTCTGTCCAGCTTGGATGGTGAATCCCTGCAACACCGCAGAATGAATAAACTGTTTTTAAAATCATAACTTGACATTTTTGGGCCAAAACTTTGTCTTATGCTGTTACAAAGTACGTGTTTTGACTCTAGAGGCTAGAGGCTACAGCGCCCCCAACTTATTTTTTGACAAATGTATATTTTTCAGAAAAATACATACAAATAAAGCCCCCCCCTTCCAAAACAATTGTGTTGATAAATTAAATTAAAAAAAATCCCAACGATGCTGTTAAAAATCATTATTATATCAAACTCAATAAATAAATATAACAAAAAATGTATTTGAATTTTTTTTTTTTGCATAAAGTTTAAAGTTTTAAACACATCACTAAAATAAATATTAATATATCTTATTCAATAAATGATCATAATGATGCTGTTAGAAGACATTTTTAAAAGAAAACAAGTAAATAAATCCTAAAGAAAATGAACAATTTGTGGAAAAACATCATCAATCTTAAGAATTATAGTAAACTAAGTAAATAAATGGAATTCAAAGGAATACAAACATAAAAACAGGCATAAATATATTTGTTCCTGTGAATTATTTATACAGCTTTAATTCCTTTTTGAGGAACTCGTGTTACTCACCCTTCGATGAACAGTCCTCTCCTGATCTTGGGCGGGGTCCTGGGCAGGAACTCGTTGGAGTTATCTAAGGACTTGTAGGAGGAACCTGAGGACCCCGAGCTGCTCAGGTCTCTCCCCCCATGGTCCCACGACTTGGACCTGGCACAGAGGCTCCAAAAAAATTAAAAATAATAATTATTATTGCAAACGTATCTGTAAATCCCCCCGCCCTATCCGTGACATATTAGGGGCGTTGCTCCGAGGGGGAAACTGTTAGGTGATCGCGTCACAAACCACGCCTTTTGACTAATTAAGTGATCGTGGGGGAGGGATGGGGGCAGCTGTCCCCGCGGTCAGAGACCGTGAGGTGACAATAAAACCCCCAGCGCCCGACTTTTCAACCTTGGGGACTAGATTTACGATGTATTAATAAGTAGAATGTCTCTAAGACGAGTACTCTACCCCGGTCGGGCACCCGAACGACTCAGACCCTGAAAGACCCTGTCAAACACTGTACAGTAGACGACTCCCCCGACGACTTCGACTTGCTCATAGAGTCGTTCTCCCTGAAGTCCGGGGGTCCAGTGCTCCTCGGCCCCTCGTTGCTCAATGTCGTTGTCAAGTCTCGGGGCAGAGGACCATGGTCAGGTTCAAAATGCAGCAGTACAGTAAGCATGTTCGATCGTCCACAGGAAGACGGTACTTTTAGTATCAGTGTTCCGAGCAGGAGCGTGTCACGGTGTTATTTCGTCTATTGTAAGTTACGTTCTGTATGTTTAAAGTGCGTAGCTTATCTAATCTGTATGAGCACGTTTATCCCACTTTCAAATATTTCGGAACATCTCCGCGTCTCGTACGACGCAATAGCGGACTACGTGGGCGAGTCAGAGGTAGAGCACCACGTGGAGCGTCTTCCGACGGCTCGGTAGGAGGCCTCAGGTCAACTTGGAGTATGTCGAAGGTCTCCTTCTTCGTTGGTCAGGCCGAAAATATTCGACGTATAGGTCTTTTTCACATGCTCCCCTTCGTTCTTTGTGTGTAACAAACCCAGTAAGCAGTACATCGACGTTTTAGTTTTTATTTATTTTCTTTTCACTGCGACTCCGTGGACAAAGTCGGTTTAGCATGCACGTCCTCCTTTACTGATAGGGGGGTTCAGTTCTCATTAGGCAGAGAAAATACAGATACTAGGTTAGAGACATTGCCCTGTCATTGTCGGAAAGGGATTGTCACAATGCCGATTCATTGATTTCGAGGGTTGAGATAGCAGGGGAAAAACGTCCGTGTTTCGAGTTGGTTTTCGAAGACGTTGAGGTAGCAGGCACCACGCGCGGAAGGCCTGCTCCGCGCTGCTGTAACTCGGACCTCCTCTATCTTTCTTTTTGGCCAGTCTTGGCGCCGCGAGGTGGTCGTAGTGCAGGACGCGGCGCACGGCCGACGACTTCCCCCGCTGGCCCCCGGCGCTCAAGGTGTAGGACGGGTAGCCGGTACGACGTGGTGGCGCCCAGGCTGGGTCAGTAGCTCCTGCCGTCGGCTTCGTTCTCGACGACACAACGACGCTGCTGCCTGAGGACAACGGCCCCCAAAGGACGTTTTCGCCCGACACGAGGAGGAGGAGGAGGAGAAGGAGGAGGAGGGAGCAGGAGGAGGTCTTCTGTCCTGAGTGTTGCCCCTGTTTCACCGGGGTGGTGGAGGGGGAGGAGGTACGACAGCCGGGTAGGAGGGTTGGAGTACCACCTCAAACTCGCCTTACAGAGACGTCCTCCTCGGTGTCCTTGAGGAGGTAGAGGAGGTAGAGGAGATAGAAGAGAGGGGGGGAGGAGTCGGAGCCTGGAGTCGGGGCCCGACTGGCGGAGAGAGACCCAGTGTAACCGTCCTCCCCCCCTAGGACGTCCTACCCTCTCTCCTCCTCTCCTCCTCCGCCTCGTCGCCCGTCGAGCCTCCCTCAAGAAACTTCCGGGTCCTCTCACACCTCCCCGACCCGTCCTGATCCCCCCCCGTGACNTCATTCCAATTTACACGATAAATAGTTCATAGCATCACAATAATAAATCAATAACTAATCAAGTTAAAAAGCCTTTCAAGAATTTAAAAGTTTGAGTGCTGCACTCAAACTTTTAAATTCTTGAAAGGCTTTTTAACTTGATTAGTTATTGATTTATTATTGTGATGCTATGAACTATTTATCGTGTAAATTGGAATGATCCACATCCAGGTGTGCCTTCTTCCTGTATGTTCCTGCCTGTGGGCATAAGCTGCTTGCAGGATTAATAAAGTGATTGATTGATTGATTGATTGATTGATTGATTGTGTGCTACAGTGGACACATGCTGTTAGACTATCAGAGACGGCACACATCTAAGATATGTCTAAACATCACAAGGACCGATACAGGAAAACATTCATGCCGACTGCAAGTTCACTTTATAACAAATCTCCTCTGGCTGGAAGAGAACTCTCTGCTCCATCGCTTCTCTTGATAACTGGACTCCAGCTCCCAATGAACATTTTCCATCTAATATGTAATCGTCCATTCCTTGCACAATTCATATATATATATATAATATCCTGCTTTATATGTTGTTCCTGTAAATGTATATTTCCACATGTATATTTGTAAATATGCTTTTTTTATTTCTATTTGAGATATTTACATTTTGGATTGTTTATTTCTCTTATTCACAATGCCTTGTCTTGTGATGAGAAAATGTCCCAATTCGGGATGAATAAAGTAATTCTTATCTTTTCTACTGACGACTGAAGACCTATACATTACATTACATTACATGACATGACATGTCACTTGTTAGAATCTTTTATCCAAAGCGACTTCCATACATTCAGTACTGTGGACAATCCCCACAGGAGCGATTTGGGGTGAAGTGTCTCAGGGACACAACGACATGCTGACTGCAGCCGGACTCCAACTTGCTATCCCCCTGATTCCAAGTTCAGCGCACTACCCACTGAGCCACAGCCTACATTGGCTTTTATTTCTATCTGTTATGTGTGTGATGTGTTCTGTTCTCATGTTGGTTCCTTTCAGGACTCCACGTGGTCCGTGTTTTGGTTTTATGTGGACCTTAAATGTATGCCTCGTGGTTATTGTATTCATGTTTCTGTGGTCTTCATTTGAACTTTCGTTCTTTCTTGTGAATTCTATTTCTGTGAAATGTGCTATAATAAATAAACGTGTTATTATCTTATCCAAAAGGTGAAGAGCGAGCACCTAAAGGAGTGAGGATCCTCTCCTTGTCGCTGAGGCCGCTCAGGTTGTACTGCGAGTGTCGGATGAGGAGGATGTTCCTCGTGGCTTTGGGTTTCCCGTTGTCCTGCTCGGAGCTGGGGTCTTCAGTGGAGCTCTCCTTCTTCTTCCCATTGGTCAGTGCAGACGGGTCTCTCCTGCAGAGGAGAGAGGAGGTCATCCTGGGATTAAAGAGGCTTTGTCGGACGTGGTTAACTTGAGGGATTGTGAACTGTGTTGACGTGATCTAAGATGATGAGCAGTAGGACACTGAGAACTTCCAGACATGTTACTTTGAGAAGACGATGAGCAGAATCCATTTGAGAGTGTGCTATTCACAGTTGACTAATTGGGAAAAATTGCAGCAGGAAGAATAAGGAATCCCTCTCAGCCTCTCACTATCCTAAGTGTCAGAGGTGTAAAGTAACTAAGTAGATTAATCAAAGTACTATATTTAAATACAGCTTTAAGGTACTCGTACTTTACTGGAGTATTTACATGTTTGGCTACGTTTTCCTTCTCCTTTCCACTACTACTTTTACTTCCATACATTTATTTACTCCAAATAAAGAACTAGTATGAATTAAAATAACTAACTACATGCATTTATTGACTTTTTTTAAACCAGATTTTCCCCCGGTGTACTATTTTGTTTTCGTTACAGTTCGTATTTTAAAGTCCCAGGTGTGTCCTGTTGGGTTTGGCTGTGGTTGGCAGGTGTCCAGTTCAATCAAGTCAAATTACTTTTGGTACTTTGAAGTAACTTGTTCAGTTTCTATTTACTTTATTTGCTCTCTTTTTTGGTCACTAAAAGTATTAAGTATCTGTCCCTCAAACTGTATTAGAGAATACTATGTGACTCCAAATAAAGAATTAGTATGGATTAAAAGTAAGCCCTAGAATTACATTAAGTACATGCATGTATTGACTTGTTTAAACCAGATGACTTGTTCCTGTGTAATATGTAGTTCTTGTTTCAGTTTCTGTTTCCTCTCTCTTCGTTTATAATGTTGATGATTTGCCAATGAGACTGAACTATCAATACTATGTGACTCCAAATAAAGAACTAGTATGAATTGAATAAGCCTTATTGACTTATTTAAACCAGATTCCTTTTTCCTGTGTACAATTTATTTCTTGTTTCTATTTCCTTTCTCTTTATCATTATAATGTTGAGTATCTGTCAAAGAAACTGAATTATCAATACTATGTGAAAAATACACAGCAAATAAAGCACCACGTACTTATCCCAGTTAAAGTCCCAGGAGTGTCCGGTGGGGCTCGGCGTGTGGTTGGCAGGAGTCCACGCCGGCTGCGCAGCTCTCAGGACGGACAGTCTGGACCAGCGACCCGCCTCTCCTCCCCGGAGATCACCGAACAATCCCCGGGAGTCTGTGGCGGCTGCAGCGAACACCAAGACGGCAGATCCTCCAGCCAGCCCGCACACAAGTTTTAAAGTCTTCCTGTACGACATCCTGAGAGAATAGGGCAAACTGTTGCTAGCTGATTAGCTTAATCTGCGTTACCGTTACAGAAAGGTAACGCAGTCTTCTCCCTCGCTTTTGATTATGTTGTGTTTTATTTGGTAATTCCAATACACCAACTGAAACAAAACGCCCTTTCTTTGCCACAGTTTTAATCAGATGGCAGTTTTTTAAGCTATTAAACTAAAAATAATGCTGTCAGTAGCTCAAGAGAATAGCAAAGCTAATATAGACAGTCCAACAAGCTTCTTCTTCGTTGGTTTCATGGCGGCAGCAACCAGAGTTAAGGTGCATTACCGCCACCTACTGTGCTGGAGTGTGGACAATAATGATCTGTCCCTTTATCAATTAATAATAATAAATGAACACAAATTAATATAAACAAAGTGATAAACAAATAATACACTTTCCCTGAAAATACAGTTAATAGATTCTTCTTGTTATTGTCATGTTTCTGTAGTATATTTCTATACATATTTGGTGCTTAGTTTTTAAAGTCTTCCTGTACGACATCCTGAGAGAATAGAGCAAACTGTTGCTAGCTGATTAGCTTAATCTGCGTTACCGTTACAGAAAGATAACGCAGTCGCAGTTCTAAAATGTATCTCATTCATTCTTAACCATGGTAGAGTAGAGTATTCAAATATCTATCCATCTATCTATCTTTCTTTCTTCTTCTGTCCCTCTTTCTTTTTGACCTTTGAGCTTTAATTACAGTTTATATTAAAGTTGGAATAACAGTACATTAAAAAAAGTTATAAAAAAAGTTGCCTCTTTCCGCAATGATGACGACTTCCGCTTCATATTCTCCATCCAAAAAAGTGGCATAAATCCCAACATCTGCCACTTGAGGGCGTTCTTATCCCTAAATCCACAAAGCTAACTGCAGCGGAGTAACCCTGATTATTCTATAAACTTTATACAAGATGCAACAACCAATTGGTTCAAAATTAATGAGCTTCTGAAGAAAAAAGTCTAACAAAACAACATACATCCTAATTTCAACAGAGTACAATCTGAACTCATGCAAAAGCTTTATAGTGGCCCTGTTTTCTAACACCCATGTTAGTGATAGGCGACTCTGTTTTGTGTTAAGTCATACAGTTTGCAACTTAAAATGTCACTTAAATACATTACTTTTAGTATATAATAACTGTGCCGAACTTAAGAGTGGAAGTCGGCTCTTTGTAAAAGCAATTATTCCTGGGTGGCATGTGTTTGTAAGCGTGGGTGTAAACCAATTAAAATTAAACTGCGAGTTTCTAAATGAAGTTTGGTGTAGCTCTCTTCCAATAAAAAAAACTGTTTGCAGAGCAACTCCACTTACACTAAACTGTGAGTCTTGTTAAACTTTCAGAGCTTTTTTTATGATGAATTAATGAATGTACTGCAAGATTTAAAGAGCCAGTGAGCTGCGTGAGTAGTATTTTTTAAATCTGCAAAATAATTGGGTGGACAGTGACTGTGCATTAGTACCAAGTGCATGCTAATCAACATTATTGCCCGTATTTATTTTCTTGTGAGGACACTTGCAGGGTTTGCACAGAGGCTCCACCTTTCCAAGCGGTTCAGTGACCTCACCAGGGGGCTGGATTGTGAGGGTGGGATTTCCAGGCTTTCAGTGAGCTCTCTGTATATTCCTGCCTCTCTATCGGAGGATCTATGCGGCTTCACCGACAGCAAACACGGACCGGTTGTACCTTGTATTAGCCTCAGAAAAGCCCCACACACTGCACACTGGATCTTATTTCTCTACATGCGACTCCAATCGGAATAAATAATTGAGGAATGTGGAAATTACAGAATGCCCAACAGCGCTGGAAAGAGATTTAAACCCACCAAATACATCCCAGTATCCACTGCTGCCACTCTCCTGGTGGGATCGACCACTTTATTCTTCGTTTTCACGTAAGTTTGCATCGCTTCTTGTTCCCATTCGTTGCATGCCGGAGATTTTCCCTTTACTGTGTGGGTGCCACCCACATTACACAGAAAAAGAGTGGATTTGCTGCTCGAAGTTGGGTGGATTCTGTCACTTGTGTAGAAGAAGTGATTTTATAGGAGTGTGTCTATCCCAATGGGGGTATCTGGAACTGGTTTGCAAAGAGCAGCCTTCCCTGTGCAGCCTCAGTCAGACTATTCACCCAAAGCCTTCCCTAATACCTGCAAGGCGAACTTCCAATAAGCCATGCAAGTTTAACAACGCTGTAATCGTGCAGGAGACCACAGTTTAGGCCGCAGACACACACCACACACTTTCCATTCAAGATATGCCGCAGGCGGTTGTTGATACAATTAAAATGGTTGCATTGGGCCAGCAGGCGGTTGTGTTTAATTCATGCTCACTCAGCTGGGATATCAGCAGTGTCATACAACCTGTTAAAGGGCATTAAAATCAGTGTGAGGCTGTGGTTCCCAAAGTGGAGTCCTGCACAGCTAGGATTTTATTGCATCCACCACTATGCCTCACCTAATGATGTAGGTTTCTCTTTGGAGTAAACCAGGGTTATGGGTAACCTATGACCAAGCCCAACAGGTCCTTACTCACTCAAAAGCTATATTGAAATACATTATATTAAGCTTACACGACAAAATAACTTATTAAAAGTGCAACCTTGAGGATGGAAACTCAAAACAGCAAAACTATTGATAGAACATTAGCTTCAAATTGGCCAAGTGCTTTTTCAATTTGATTTGTTTTACCTAGGTGTGCTCGAAATATTAGTAATCAGTCACTTTAAGTAAATATTGTGACAAGCAGGTGACATCCACACCATCTGGATGCCTACAGTCAGCCAGCATCATTGTCCCCTGCATCTGGTGAAAAGGGAAGCTAGTGTTATAATGTAGAGCGGCTGTAGGCAGATAGCATCAGAGCGTGATGTGTCTGGTCTGAATCATCATTCCCACATGCATCCTCCTCCAGTGCTGCTAACCCCCAGGTGAATGCGTTACCAGTGAAATTATCAACTCAATCTCGCATCTGCAAGGAGCCCGCAGGGGGTTGGGAAATCATTTTGGAAACCTCTGACCTGGACTGATGAGTGTTGAAACAGATCATCCAACCTTTAGCCTTTTGTAGAGATTGGTTGTCCGTCAAAAAAGACTTTGAAGAAACCTATATCGCTGTGGATGATGTGTCACTGTATTCGCACACTAATCAACTCATTTGTACCTCATTTGAACCCAATGAACAGCTGTTGTGGATCTGTACCATTAAATAATGCATTGCTGTTTGACAAAGATCCATATTAGATGCACAAGGATGGGATACTGAATGTCCTCTTCAATAAAAAAAAAAGCAGGACTACGAAAATGCTTAAGCTGCTGCACCCTAAGTGGTTTTGCACACACTCGGGTCAATGACAGAGACTGAAGGAAACATATGGTGTTTGTGGGTGGCGTCTGTAGGATGCATTGTAGCTTTAAAAGTCCCAGCACTCCTTGGTGTAGTGTCTGGGGCTTTGCATAAACAAATGGCCTGGTTTACAAGTACTGGTTTCGAATAGATGTATTAGGATATCTGCTTGCAAATAGGAGAATTTGCTGCTTGGGTTTTAAAAAAATAATAATATGAGTTGTTCTTTTGCTGGGGTTCATCCCACCAGCAGATGGTTCAAGGGTGAGGAGTAAAACTTCACTCTGTTGCTCCTTAATTTCCCAGTAAAAGGTTTGGAGGATTGAGTCACAAATAATGGCACCTCCGGGGGGGCAGTGCACGTCCAAACTAGGCCATTTCTCATCATTCTCAAACACACATTAGAGTCCATTATGGTTAACCTAGTCTAGCCTTGTTTGTGGCTCCAGAGCAAAGCTGCACTTATACGCCTTAAACCATAAAACAGTGGCATGGTATCCTAATTGAATCAACCAGAATATCAAACAACAAGGGCAAAAGAAGGAAAATGTTATATGTGTATGTCGCTAAAGACTCAGACACGCAGCGGTAAAAACTAAAGAAGTATATACTCATAATGCCAGGGACACGCATCTTTTTTTATTCCTAGTCGGAGTGTTACATGTTACACCATTGCCAGCAGGCCACTTGGTGTCATATGGGCAATGGAGGATGACGCTCAGGTCCAGCAAGGGCACACACACACACACACACACACACACACACACACACACACACACACACACACACACACACACACACACACACACACTGTCCATGGTGTGTTACTGCGTTTGGCTTACAGTTAGTGTTTCCCACTGAGATTGAATTAGAACACATTAGTACAGATTTATTTATATCTCCACGGCATGACCAACGACTCATCACAAAATAAGATACTGATGATATATTAAGCTTTTAGTCATGGTTTAGCCATCATAATATTATCCCAGCCTTATCTGGGCCTATGACGAGACTCTATTATACAGTATCTTAGAGCTACTGTGACTAAATGTGTTCCAGCGCTGAATACCAACGTTTTCTTTTACCTTTTTAAGTTATTCCTCACGATGGCATTATCACTGACTTTGAGCATATGGGCAAACAATCAGTAGACATGACTGCCAGGCTGGCCAACCTCATCTGTTGCTAAGCCTTACAGTCAATGCTAAATGTCAATTGATCATATGAGCAATATCATGATTGCATTCAGCAGTTTTTGCCATGTAGGGCTGGACTCTGGGTGAGGTAGTCACTCAGTGGTTGGGTCACAATCAGCAGGCGGAGAGCGGAGCTGCACACGAGAGCAGAATCTAATCTCCAGCTTCCACATCTGTTTCCTCCTTTTCACTGTATATCCATTGACTCGGACTTCATTCAGATCCTAGTACCGAATGCATTGTGTGGCTTTTGTGCAGCACTCAGAGCTTCTTGTAGAGATTTTGAAAGCTATTTTAGTTTGGAGAGAGTGAAGTTGAGGAAATATTGGAAAGAGGGGGGAGTGCACTTGTTCCTGTGATCCAACATTAACCTTCTAGCTGCTATACCGATATGGCATCCTAAATGGTTATTTATAGACATACTGCGGGGTAAATTAGTCTAAAGAACTTCTGTGAAATATCTATTTTTGGAGAAAAAAGCAGGGCTATCTTATTTACACAGTACAGGAACTCGCTGTTTTCTCACAGCAGGTCTGGTAGAATAACAGAAGTGTAGCATACCTCTGGAACTCAAAAACACCTCCTATTGACCAAAGGTTATTCAACAAATGCTAGTTAACCGATATGGCTAACGCTAGCTAGCATTAACATTAGCTTAGTGATTTTCTTGAAAATAAATATCTTGAATATCTATAAAAACTGATAAAAGGCCTACTT